TTATGTCAATTTCAGGGACATAACCATGGCATTTCCGAGATTTGTCATGAAATCAGAGTCAGTCATCTCTTTGGAGCTCAGGTTTTCGGTTGAGCTCCTACAATGACAACGATAACAAAGAGTCAGTGATCTGCTTTTGATCTATAGCAGATTTAGCAACTCACACTTCGCAGCAAAAATTTAAGAGTGAGGATCCTTAAAGCCGCTGCATATGCTACTCCCCTAATCTCACACTATCTTTCAGTTGTTACTGATAGGGAAGGAGCAATTCATGTGTATAGTTTTTGACTTGAATCTGTATGAAACATGTGTTCAATTAATAAACATTTTGAGCTTCTGATATTTACCTACGTATTGTCCAAGTTATTAGCTATCATATTGGTTGTAGTCTTTGTGTGATCTTTACCTACTTAGAAGTTTGATTTCAACATGGTGTTATGGACCCGATCTGAAATTGTCTGATATGACTGGATATGAATAGATAAGGGTCATGATCATAGATGAATATCAAATATATTGGCTGGGTCTTGGATGTATATCAAAATCAAGAATGAAGTAATAAACTCGGTGTGTGATATATATAAATGTTGTACAAATTTATTGGCCCATTACTATGTTAACTGTGTTTCTTTAAAGCAAATTGTTAACTTTCACAGTTTGCTTGTTAAGTTACACCGATAACATGTTAATTTTCGCAGTTTGATTGTTAAGTTACACTGATAACATGCTAACTTTGGATGGTAAATTGATAATTATATTCAGTAAACTGTTAACTATAATCCATTATATGTTAACTATTATTTGTAATCTGTTAACTAACACCATTATCCTGTTAACTATTAATCATTATCTGTTAACTATTAATCATTATCTGTTAACTGTTATTTATAAACTGTTAAGTATAATGAATTATCTGTTAACTGTTATTTATAATCCATTATCCGTTAACTGTTATTTCAGATGATATACACGTTAGTATAGTTCTTATTTAACATATTAACTATAATACGTAGCATGTTAACATAATCCGTTAACACGTTAAATAAGAACTATAATTCATAAATTGATAACTATAATACGTAAATTGATAAATATTAACGTGTTATAGTTAACATGATAACACGTTAAATGAGAACTATATTAACGTGTTATAGTTAACATGTTAACATATTTATAGTTAACACCTTAAATGAGAACTATATTAACATGTTAACATAATCCATTAACATGTTAAATGAGAACTATGTTAGCCTTAATTGGTAAATTGATAAGTATATTAACGTGTTAACGGATTATATTAACTATAACACGTTAATATAGTTTTTAATTTAACATGCTACGTGTCATCATTTTTCTATGTAAGCTTGTTACACAAAATACTCAACTTTATATGTTACAGCTTATGGATAGCACATTACAAATTATAGTTAACATATTGACTTTTACATTTAACATGTGTTCATATTATAGTTAACATGTAAGCTATGATAGTTATCAGTTTATATATAATAGTTAACATGTTAACTACAATAGTCAACATGTTAACGACAATATTTAACATGTTAACTACAACAATTAACTATTATCGTTAACATGTTACGTGCTATAGATAACATGTTACATATTCCCTTAACTGGTACCGTTGAAAATTAATTAGTTAGCATGATAAATTGATAACTATAATACGTAAATTAATAACTATAAAATATAAATTAATAACTATAATACGGATCATGTTAACATGCTACGTGTTATAGTTAACATGTTAAATGAAAACTCTATTAACGTGTATATCACCCGAAATAACAGTTAACGGATAATAGATGACAAATGATAGTTAACAAATAATTTATTATAGTTAATAGTTTATAAATAATAATTAACAGATAATAATTAATAGTTAATAGGATAATGGTGTTAGTTAATAGATTGTAAATAATAGTTAACATATAATGGATTATAGTTAATAGTTTCCTAAATATAGTTATCAATTTACCATCCAAAGTTAACATGTTGTTAGTGTAACTTAACAAGCGAACTGCGAAAGTTAACATGTTATCAGTGTAACTTAACAAGTGAACAAATAAAGTTAATATGTTTCTGATGACATGAAAAATAATGATTAATATAGTCAACATAATCCGTTAACATGTTAAATGAGAACTATAATACGTAAATTGATAATTATAATACGTAGCATGTTAACATAAAACATCACATAATATCCAAATCTTAGATGTTAAGGTTACAACTATTTTCTGACAATCATATGATCAAGCAAATGCAATCAATATAAGTAAAAACATTAAGCCCAGAGCATCAGCAAACCAATAAATGACAATGCCACAACAGATGATAAAGAGTGGAAAAACTTATACTAGCACGAGTAAATAAATGCAAATAAGTATTAAATGGGGTACATAAAGAAAATTTTAAGACACAGGCTTGGCTCTCGTTATAAACCTCTTCTTGCCAAACACGTGCTCTTTTTTGGAGATGAGGACCGGGTCTAACATGGACGTGCCCGACCCGGTTCAGCGGAAGGCTTCGATCTTCTGGTCTCCGTCGAGGAGGACGACTTGGTGGTCGGAGACGAGGGCGACGTATTAGTCAGAGAGGGGCTCAGGATCGTCGGAGAACTTGGCATTCTTGAGGTCTCAGTGGACGTGGACCAGGTGGGCATCGTCGATGAGGAAGTGTTGTTCATTCGAGGAGGATGAGGAGATGGTGACAGGGACGAGGAGACGATGATGGAGACTGGGGAGGCGTCTTCGTCGTCGACGTCACTGAGAACGACGGCAGAGTCGTCAGCAATGTCGTCAGCCATGGAATTGAGAGGAGAGTGTTGTTCATCCGAGGAGGAAGTGTTGTTCATCCCAGTGGCGTATTCGTTGTTTCTGTTCATCCGAGGAGGACGAGGAGATGGTGACGAGGACCGGGGAGGCGTCTTCGTCGTCAACGTCGCTGAGAACGACGGTGGAGTTGTCGACGATGTCGTCGGCCATGGAATTGAGAGGAGAGTTTTTTTTCCTCTCACAACTTTCTGAAGAAGAAGAGGGTAGTTTAGGGTTTTTTGAGATTTATTTGCTTGGGAATTGTAAAAAGGGCTGAATCACATTAACTTTTTATTTTTGAGGCTAATACACATTAGAAAAAGTAAAGGGGATTAGAACACATCATGTTTTCATTTTGGGGCCTTGAAGCAATTTTTCCTTCATTCATTCTGAAGAGGGGAAGAAGCCATGAGCTTGAGATGGGGGTATTTTGAATTTCTGGTAAGTACTCATTATGTAAGAGCTTATTGCTCTTTTGATGAAAACATTTAGGGTTATATTCCTCTTCTTGTTTGAAGAAGGTGAAAGTAGAAAGAAGTTGAGGTTGATAAATTGTTTAGAAATCAAAGGGATGAAAGGAAGAAGACAAGGGTCGAAATGAGTTTGGGTTTTGGTTTGTGATTAAACGACTTTAAGGTTTTCAAGCAGGTATAAGTTAAATAAATAATGAGTTTGGTTTATAATCCAAAGGGTATAATGTTCAGTCCATCCAAAAAGTTAAGAGTTAATGAAATTTTCGTAGAAAGTATAATACGAAACTATTTACAGGGACTAATATCAACACGGTAATGACAACAAGTAGACTAATATCAAAATATGAAGATTTGAGGGACTAATATCAAAATACATATGATGTGATAGAATAATATCTAAAATCCCCTATATTTTAATAAGGGGAAAATGCTTCCAGCCCCCAAAAGCCAAGTGAACATGCTTCCCACCCCCAGGACTTGGTCAATGGGTGTTTTACCCCTAAAAATAAAGATTGTGTTCTCTGAGGTCCCAAAACACAAAACCCAAGACATTAAAACATGTGAAGACCATAATACCCTTCTCTCTCTCTTTCTTTTTTTATTAAAATATGATGGGGATTATTTTATTATTTTTGTTTTCTCTCTCTCTTTATCATGATGTACCAAGAGGATAGTTGAAATGATTGATGAGGATTATTTTATTATTTTCGTTTTTTATTATTTTGGTTGTTTGTATTGGGAGGTTGTTAAAGTTACGGGTTGATTGTTAAGGTTACGGGTTGGTTGTTAAGGTTAAGGGTTTGTTGTTAAGGTTGTGAATCCTCTCTCTCTCTTTCTTTTTTTATTAAAATATGATGGGGATTATTTTATTATTTTTGTTTTCTCTCTCTCTTTATCATGATGTACCAAGAGGATAGTTGAAATGATTGATGAGGATTATTTTATTATTTTTGTTTTTTATTAACCTTAACAATTAAACCTGTAACCTTAACAATTAAACACGTAACCTTAACAATTAAACCCGTAACATTAACAACAAATCCGTAACCTACACAACAAACCCATAACCTTAACAACAAACCTTTAACCTTAACAATTACCAACCCGTAACCTTAACAATCAACCCGTAACTTTAACAACCTCCCAATACAAACAACCAAAATAATAAAAAACGAAAATAATAAAATAATCCTCATCAATCATTTCAACTATCCTCTTGGTACATCATGATAAAGAGAGAGAGAAAACAAAAATAATAAAATAATCCCCATCATATTTTAATAAAAAAAGAAAGAGAGAGAGAAGGGTATTATGGTCTTCATATGTTTTAATGTCTTGGGTTTTGTGTTTTGGGGGCTCAGAGAACAAAATCTTTATTTTTAGGGGTAAAACACTCATTGACCAAGTCTTGGGGGTGGGAAGCACGTTCACTTGGTTTTTGGGGGCTGGAAGCATTTTTCCCATATACTAGTTGGATTGCACGTGCAATGCACGTGGTAAAGTTTTTATGTTTTTTTTTTAAATTTATAATTTTTTTTATAATTTTTTTTATAAAATTATGGAATTTAAGTAATGGATAAAACATATAGACATAATCGAAACATTCAACATTTGAACAATTAAATTACAATTATTTATTGAAAAGTGATGATTAGACATGTCAGATCCTTGGATATTCTTGCAGACCAACGACTTGTGCTACTTGTGCCAATGCCCAAGCATACGCTACGCAGAAACATACGCTACGCAGATTAATACACAGGATGCTGTGGTAAAATCCAGAATCAACACCCTTCAACCCTGGAGCCCTATGATGCCTGGAAATGACGAAAAAACGTACGGAACACAAGTGAGGAACATTTACATATAGGCAAATGCTTAATTATACATCATTAAGTTCAAAGTAAATTCAAGGGAGAAGAGACACGAGAAAATTTAACAAGAAGGTTACAAACTCAATACGTATATTAGAAAATCTCACCACATGCAATTCTTTATCCTGCATTTCCTGTTTCTTTTCTCAGCTCATGTCTACCTGTAAACATATAAAATCATCTTTGTTAGACTACAACAGCTAACAGGAGAATAACTATTTCTGATGCAATTCCATTAGATTTTTTTAATGTTTCAAAATTCGCAATCCTTTAATTCGCGACCATCTTTAATACAATTGAGAACATGTGTCAACTTCCCCATGTTTTATATTGTGAGTGCATCTAGCACAAATGATCTAGATAGGGTGGGGAATAATCCCTTGGATATTAATGCCTGAATTTTAATTAAATAAGGGCCTCACACTTCCGTAAAAAGGGAGATAATTGGACAATTTCACCATCATTATTATTAGGGTTAATTGATTTTTAAAAGAAGTTGGAAGGGGGGGGGTGTACGCTCAGGAGTCTTACCGTACTTTGGCCAATAGCACAGGGAGTCTATCAACACCAATAGAGCTAAAGGGGATCTATCTGCAGTTAGGTGACATTACAGGAGGTTTATTCGCAACCAGCCCTTGTTATAAGCATGACCACTTCTAAATGTCATCCCTTACCAGCTTCGTACATAACTTACTCAATATATAGCAATAAATTAATGATTAATGCGAATTAATCAATAGTGTTAATTTTCCCCTTCCAAGATCATCAGGATCAGCATGCACAACAATAGCCCTTCCAAAGACCGAGTGCGATCCTGACAGCTTAATCTGCAAAGATAAAAATGTGTATCCTTCATATAAATATGAAAAGGTTAACAAACCTCATATAGAATCTGAAGAAGTTAGAAGGAATGCAAGCAAACAACAAAATAACATAGCTGACCTGCTTGTCAACAATATTAAACTCAACATTCCCTGAAACAGCGAAAGAACCAATAATCACTTTTATCAATTGAACTTTTTGTTCTTTGCAACATACAAGATAGACAACTTAATTTTCTCTCAGATCATGATAAGCATTTTACCAAGATCCAGTTCGCATCATGTTAGCTTAAAATAACCTTTCCTGCAAAGCAAATCAATGAGATCAAACATAACATTAGGTAAAAGAGGGGAAAGAAAACAGAAGTTAATTTTTTTCCTCCATACAGAAAAATTTGAATGAAGTACCTTGATAGCAGCAACATCAGCTGCTGGAGGCTTCAGGTCCAATGAAATACCTAAGTAGAACATGTCCTTAGCATGAATATTAAGGCTCTTGTGAATCTTCCCTTCAACGTGTAGATGCTGCTCTTACATGGGGTGAAGTCCTTAACCTGCTCCAAATGATTCAATGTCCTATATAAATATCATAAGACAAAGGTCCAATATAACAAATAACTAATATATGTTTGGATTTTTTTTTGCTAATTAACTAAAGTAATAAATGTTTAGGTAAATTACTTTTAAACATTTGCACTTTCAATATTAAGTTTTTTACTGGTAAATCATGTTCCGGAATGCATTAAAAATAGTAACAACAAAATAAATGAATACATTTATGACAATCAAATTCCAATTTTACTAATTTGGTACACAGTGATCAATTTTATTGAAAAAATAATATTTAATGGTTAGATGTACTCATAGTTTGTCCAAATATTATCTAAATTATCAAACAAATATTTGCACTGGATATCAATCGGAAACTGTCCATGTGTAAGTCCTATATATTTTAATCTACAAGCTCCATAGAAGCCTCAAGTATTTTTGAGTGGTACTGGATCCCATCAAAATGTTAAAATGCAATTTGCTTAGAGTATTCACATTGTAAATGTTGCCGGGAAATGACATCCTTGAAGCCAATCGTCTTCATATTCAAGCTCAAGCCATCTAACAAATCATAAACGCCTTCGATTGGTACCGCCGTCTCAAGCCCGGAAGCATCAACAGCTGGGAGGACTTGGAAGGCATGTTTCTCGCCCCTTTCTTCGATGATGACACCGAGGTGTCGCTCAGGACACTCTTCGACGAGAAACAAAAAGGCGGAGAGTCGGTGGATACCTTCATCAAACGCTTCCGCAATCAGGCAATGAACTGCAAGGATCCCGTCACGGAGGAATTTCTCTTGCAGACTTGTCAGAACAACTTGTCCATTAACATCTTGGACGTGATGGGAATAGAGCCGCTCAATACCTGGAAAGAGTTGAAGGATCGAGGAGAACAGGCTGAACGCTTCATCAGAATGCGGAAGGTCGAGAGAAACCAACCGATGGTTAATCCTCCGGATTCGGATCTCATACCTCATGATGAAGAGGACGTACCTGCAACGGTTATTGACGATGATCAAACGTCACAACAGCAGTCCTGGGAACAACAGGAGAATTCGGACGAGGAGCTCCAAAACGAGTATTCGTTCAAAGACGAAGACGTTCCATCTATCTTCGAGACCCTTCTCGAAAACAACAAAATCAAACTCCCGCCCATCACGCATCAGGAGGAAGATGATGATTCTGCGGATCCAACGTACTGCGAGTACCACAGAAGGATCCTCCACCCCACCAAGGAATGCTTTGCTCTCAAGAATAGCATCCAGACCTTGGTTGAAGCCGGCGTTATAACGCTAGGGTAAGCCAATTGAAAACGGCCAGACTCCAAAGAATACAAGAGTATAAACTGTTTCTCAACACTCCGATAAGTATAAGAGTATAAACTGCTTCTTACTACTCCAAAGAGTACAAGAGTATAAACTGTTCCTCAATACTCCAAAGAGTACAAGAGTATAAACTGTTCTTCAATACTCCAAAGAGTACAAGAGTATAAACTGTTTCTCGAGACTCCGATAAGTATAAGAGTATAATCTGCTTCTTATAACTCCGACGAGTATACGAGTATAAACTGCTTCTCAATCCTCCGACCGGTATAAGAGGTTAAACTGCTCCCTGATACTCCAATAGGTATATGAGTCTAAACTATTTCCTACCATTGACGGGAAGTTCCTGGAGGATATTACGCTAATATTCTTAAGGATAACCCGGTCGGATAACAAAATCAAACCCAGTTCCAAGAGAGAAGCTGGGGGTGGATAATCCAATGCATCGGGAAGTTCCCGAAAGAATACCACATGGGTATTCTTAGGGATAACCCAATCATTGTGGAATTGGTGAATAAGAAATTCACGTTCGAACTCAGAAGGCCGGAATGTCTCTTCTCATTCTCTAACTCTTATGAGTCGTTTTTGTGAGAGGAGATCCAATCTTCTGATAGGTTAATCTTTCCTCACCAAACCATCCGCTGATCAAATCAAACGACAGTGGACCCACCAACATTCCCATCTACCAGTCGTTGGCATTTCTCAGACTTAACATGCTAGGTCCTAAACGCCTAGCATTAAAGTCTCCCTTTGAGTGATAATACGAGTTGGCGTTTCCTTGCTACCCGTATTCCACTTTCTTTGCTTTCTGGTCAAACCTATAAAAGTTAGGGCCAAAGCCAAAATCCCCTCTCGATTCCTCCAATGAACGAGAGGTCCACTTTCAAATCGAGTGACCAATCCTATAAAAGTTAGGGTCGTTCGAATCTTTCCGATTCTCGGAGTGGAGATCCCACTCTTAGTTTCATCCTTCCGGATTCTGGGGGTGGAGATCCCACCTCGAGTTTCCTTTCCAGCTGTAGATAGAATATAAAATTCTTCCTCTTCAGCACCGGGAGATAGAATATAAAATTCTTCCTCTCCTCGGACCTTTCCGATGCTCGGAGTGGAGAACCCACTCCCAGTTCATCATTTCCGGATTCTGGGGGTGGGGGATCCCACCTCAAGTTCCCTTTCCAGCTGTAGATAGAATATAAAATTCTTCCTCTTCAGCACCGGGAGATAGAATATAAAATTCTTCCTCTCCTCGGACCTTTCCGATGCTCGGAGTGGAGAACCCACTCCCAGTTCATCATTTCCGGATTCTGGGGGTGGGGGATCCCACCTCAAGTTCCCTTTCCAGCTGTAGATAGAATATAAAATTCTTCCTCTTCAGCACCGGGAGATAGAATATAAAATTCTTCCTCTCCCGTTTCTCAATCTGTCTTTGCTTTTAGAAAAGACACGATTGTCAAATCCGGGCACTCGATGCACGGGGAATTTTATCCCGAAGCCTGAGTAGGGATAAGTCAACGCCTAACACGCGTTGCCGGGTAGTCTATTCCCGTGAGAAAGACGAAGTCTATGTATTCAAAATCATAGCATTAAGTCTAAGAGAAGCAATTCTCTTAGCACAACGTTACATGTGAAACGGGTTTTAATAATTCACATGCTAGCCCGATTCAAACGGTAATCGGTAAAGGCACATCAAACCCGTTGATGGCTGGGGGTTTGCCAAAAATCCCAAAGCCTATGTCTAACACACATGGCCGGTTAGTCTTTGACCGTAAAAAGGACAAAAGACCACATATTCAACATTGTGGCAGGTTGTTATTAATAACACCATAATCCGTGCCTCACACGCACGGGGAATTTTATCCTGAATCCTAAGTAAGGATAAGTCAGCGCCTAACACGCGTTGCCGGGTAGTCTATTCCCGTGAGAAAGACGAAGTCTACGTATTCAATATCGTAGCACTAAAAGGGTTAACTCTTTTAGCTTAAACGTCACATAGGAGCGGACTTAAACAATCCGCATGCTAGCCCGACTCAAACGGTAGTCGGTAAAGGCTAATCAAATCCGTTGAAGGCTGGGGATTAGCCAAAAATCCTAAAGTCAACGCCTAACACGCGTCGCCGGGTAGTCTATTCCCGTGAGAAAGACGAAGTCTACGTATTCAATATCGTAGCACTAAGAGCGTTAACTCTCTTAGCACGAGTTCAAAGTCAACTCAATGACACTGTAGGCATCAAAAATTGCCTATAGTTCTCCACAACCGGTTCAGTGTTAACGAGCGACGATGAACGTCACCATCCAATCCACATGAGCCTAATCGACGTCGACGAACGACTGAAGTGAATCGACGAGTTACATGAGCGGATAGGACTTCGGAATCACGAAGACCCGGACCAATCGGGAAGCCCGGCACTGTTCACAAAAAGGACAACGCCCTTCATGCCTCGACCACTCTACAGATAATCCAATCACCAGAGCGGGTCAAACTCTTCGTCGCGCATCCAACGCACCCGGAATCACTCAAATCCGAATCCGGACGACGAATCAACCGCGAGTCAACGGCGGGACAACGGCACGGCCCCGGGCTGAACCGGGGACACCCAAACAGGTCTCGGCCAATAGCCGAGACACCCCCTAAGGAGTGTCTCGGCCACAACCGAGACACCCCAAGGGGGGTGTCTCGGCCATGGCCGAGACACCCCATGGGGGGTGTCTCGGCCATGGCCGAGACACCCCATGGGGGGTGTCTCGGCCATGGCCGAGACACCCCATGGGGGGTGTCTCGGCCATGGCCGAGACACCCCATGGGGGGTGTCTCGGCCATGGCCGAGACACCCCATGGGGGGTGTCTCGGCCATGGCCGAGACACCCC